ATGGCCTCCAACCTAATAACGACGGCCTCCAACCTAATAGCGATGGCTTCCAACCCAATACCAATGGCCTCCAACCTAACATCGATGGCCTCCAACCTTATAGCGACGGCTTCCAACCCAATAGCGACGGCCTGCAACCTACTAGCAATGGCCTCCAACCTAACATCGATGGCCTCCAACCCAATAGCGACGGCCTCCAACCTAATAGCGGTGGCCTCCAACCCAATAGCGATGGCCTCCAACCCAACATTGATGGCCTCCAACCCAATAGCGATGGCCTCCAACCTACTAGCAATGGCCTCCAACCTAACATCCATGGCCTCCAACCTAACATCGCTGGCCTCCAACCTAATAGCGACGGCCTCCAACCTATTCGCGATGGCCTCCAACCTAATAGCAAAAGCCTCAACCAACCTAATAGCGATGGCCTCCAACCTAACATTCATGGCCTCCAACCTAACATCGATGGCCTCCAACCTAATAGCGACGGCCTCCAACCTATTCACGATGGCCTCCAACCTAACATCGATGGCCTCCAATAGCGACGGCCTCCAACCTATTCGCGATGCCCTCCAACCTAATAGCGATGGCCTCCAACCTAACATCTCTGGCCTCCAACCTAATAGCGACGGCCTCCAACCTATTCGCGATGGCCTCCAACCTAATAGTGATGGCCAACCTAATAGCGATGGCCTCCAACCTAATAGCGATGGCCTCCAACCTAAGTGATTAGAATTAGAAAGAATACGAGTCAGTTCCTTTTTCAAGAATGGTGCAAAGAACTCGCTGCAACGCGCAGGGCACACCGCTGGAGGTGCACACGCAACCAATTGACGTAAAAGAGGTCGTGCGCGCAGCGCACGTCCAGGACCTTGAGAGCTCTTTGTTGTACTTACAATGAATGAAAAAGAGTACACTAAAGCAAATGTCCAGCCTCCATAAGTTAGAACATATAATGAAGCTGATGCGACGATCAAACCTCGCACCATAGTTTAGGATTTGAATCCAGCTTTGCTAAGCACGTGCTGCTGCACCTGTTGGTGGATCCAAAGCATCATCCACCTGAGCCACTTGGAGGGCCTCCCCCAAGCTTGATACCACATTGGACAGAACCCCGCAGTTTTTGTTCCACTGAATTGACACCTTGACAAAGTCTGGTTACTGGAAACCTAGGACCTAGGAACAACTCCGTTTACGAAAAGAAATTCGTCACTGCTGCCCAGGTATGATCATATTCAAACGCTGGTCTCTAAATTTACAGGAAGATGATGCAAAAACACCATGCCATGTGATGAAGGTATCGCACTTCATTGATGATGATAATCCACAACAGCAACACAATTCACAGGTTGCCTGTTGCCGCTCTGATTCATTCATTGTCTCACGCATACCAGGAGCCTGGAAGAAGCGTTCAAGTACGGGGGTGTCTCTGCAACAGGCAATGTGCATGTGAGATAAAGCAAGAAGAAACCATTTGAATGAACCAGCCTGCAAGGACCGCATACAGCGTATTATAGCCTTGGGGTCAAACTGGTGATGGCCTCCAAGCTAATAGCTATGGCCTCCAACCTAAAAGCGCTGGCCTCCAACCTACTTGCGATGGCCTCCCTATAAGAGCGATGGCCAACGAGAGTTTCACTCGGGCCGTAGAGAGCACGGAGATCGCTTAGGAATCACGAAGAATTGAGATGGCAAACGATGAAGGAATGTGACAGGAGAACACGTAAAGAGACAGGATAATTTGAGAGCACAAACGAACTATCGTGGCAATAAGTGTGGGCGAATGAGATGAGGCTCAGCTGAAACCTGCACCACCTCATGCCTCATGAGCTAAGGTCAAAAAACAAAAGTTTCACTTCTGAATCAGTTTGAGCAAATAGCAACAGGTGGAGGAAAATCTGTTGAATCTCTAATATGAACAACACTGGCATCATATGGCTGCATTTGCAACATAGGGTGAAAGAAAACTCAGTGAGACACACAAAATGGCGTCATATGAATGAGATGGGACCACATGAGATGGGTGAAGTGGAAATTAGTTGTTGCGCTAGTTAAGTTAAATACTCACGGAAATCGGCGCCCCAAGCAATCAAGGAGAACATATCTGTTCTGTTTTGGGCCAAAGCTAAACCACGGTTTTAAGTTACCAGTAGCAAGGGCATCCCTATTTGTAACAAGAAGCTACTAGTAGCAAGGGGCATTACTAGTAGCTACAAACTACTAACAAGGGCATCGCTACTAGTAGCTAAATCAACCACACCAAGCTAGCCACCGCTTTGTGCCACCACGCTTCGGCACTGAATCGTGGAGCCTGCGCGTCATAGAGTAACAATCTTTCGAAGAGCTGGCCATGCCCCCAATGATTCCCAATGCCCATGACAGTGGCCTCCATGTCCATTGCAAACTGCAGGCAATCTCCCAATTCCAATGCAAAACCGATAAACCGATCCAACATTGGTATTGCAACTTTGTAAATGCGATTACGAGTGGGCAAACGCACATGGTGCTAACGAAATGTTGACCCTGACTGACTCATGTTTATCAGTTCATGCATAGTTCAAAGTCCAAAAACACAAATGCAAACATGAATCTTGGTTTGGTTGGGTGAAAACTTAATGGAAACCACAAAAAAAACCTACCAAATGTAATGCCCTGCTGGATGATTTTTTTGTTTTGCATCTGCTGGAACATATTCAAGCTACGAAGCTTGGAATATGCGGCAAAGAAACAACACTCAGAAACACCTTTGAACATATCATTGTGAACCAGCGTGAAATGAACATGTCTCGAATCGTTTGATGGCATGAAGTAAAACTCAAAGCTACGCACACCTTTTCTACAAAAGTCTGGGGTCCAAGCACTCCTTGGGCTGAGGGCTTGGCTTTTTGGCTGTCATCAAAGCCCCAGCGGAACTTGAAAGTGGAAGCTTGGGGCAAAAAGGGTTGGGTGGGTGGGCTCACTTTTCGGCCGGGAGAAAAGCAAGCCCACCCACCCTACCCTTTAATCCAAACATTGCAAATTGAAAATGCCATCCGCTCCTGATGTCGCTTAAACTCTCTCGAGACCGAACGATCGTCTTCGACGAGCTTATCAGTCTCGAATCGTTTGATGGCATGAAGTAAAACTCAAAGCTGCGCACACCTTTTCTACAAAAGTCTGGGGTCCAAGCACTCCTTGCCCCATTTAAAATTGCTTGGCCCTTATCGTCTGACGAAAGGTGTGCAAAAACTCAAAGAACTCTTTGCCAGCTTCTGCAGTGCAACACTGTTCGTCCTTAAGGAGCGGATGCACTGAAAAGCGAGAGGGGCGGTCACTGAGATTACATTCAGTCACCAAAGATGCGAACCGAGTTCAGACTCAAGTTCGAGCTGCAAATAAATCAAAGCATTTCCAATCTCTCCTTGTGCGCTTCCTTTGATGAGCGCGAAACGCACTGCATCATTGTCTCCAAAGTGCACCGTCAGGTTTCCAAAAGCAAAGTTCTTCCAGAATCTGAGAGCAAAGACTGCACTCAAAAGCTCCAGCTCATAAATGATCGTGTCTTTCCGAGAGGATCCAAACACTTCACACAAGTTGGAATCAAGGAAGATACCAAACCTAGCAATGCAAATGCCAGCTTCACTCACCAGTACAGCGCCCAAGCCTCCGGTGGAGGTTTCTGGTTCAAAAGCCGCATCAGTGTAAACAAAGAATTGCTGCAGATCAGTCGAGTCTATTCTCTTGGGCTTGCAGGTGAGAAGTCGGTGGCGCATCCAGGTCAGCGCACTCTCGAGAGGCTTGCCAATGCGAGCTTCTGTGCCATAGGCGTGTTCAACAATCCTGTTCAGAACCATCTTGCCCAACCTTCCGTGAACAAAGCTGTCAGCAAACCCTAACCTCCCTCGAAGGACGAGGGATTCATGCTTCGACATGCAACCGTTGACTAGCATTCGATCGATGTGCTCGATCAACTCCTGCTTTCGTGCTTCTGTATTACCAATGGACAGGATACGGTCGCGAGCAAGACTGAGGTCAAACTCTACTCCGAGGGCATGACAAATCCTGGCGAAGTCGGTTGCTTTTTTGCCGTCTCGAGCAAATTCCCAGCCAGTCAAAAGAAAAATCATTTCCATACCATGTTGTGCCGACTTCTGATTTGCTTCCTTTGAAACCAAAATGAAGTCGTCGTAGAAATTACTTTTCAGCAGAAAAAGACCTCTACACGCAATGCTATGTAGGGAACGAGCCAATCGGAGGAAGTTGTAAACGCTGTGTGTTGCACCAAAAGGCAAAGTCTTCATTCTGTAGATCTCCGATTTATCAAGCTCATGGTTGTATATGCAGAAGTAAGCAAACTTCAAACGCTCACCTCGGATCGGAACTTGACGGTAGGCGCTCTTCAGGTCATAGGTCTTTGCGAGGAACTCTGAATGAGATCCAAAATGCTCGCAGCGCCGAAAAAGTTCTTTCATGAGAGCTGCAAAGGTGTCGACCATGTGCAAATCGATTTTGTGATGGGTGGAGGTGCACTCGTTGACCCCACTGACAGAGTAGTCATCAATCATACGGATCTTGGAACCTTGACGAAGTGGAAACCTTCTTGAAATCACCGAACCCTGTTCCAATTGGGAGAGCTCGAATGGACCTTCTGCCCAACCTTTGCTCAGCTCAAGACGCGTCTCCTCTAGGAGCTTCTGGTCCAGTTCTAACTCGCCACACGATGCAGCCATCTTCACTATTGCCTGATTCCTCTTGGCCGAACCTGCAACCAATTGTTCAACTGTGGCCATGCAAGGTTTGTACTGTGCTTTGAACAGCGAACACTTGTGAACATCCCCAACCAAAGTCGACCCGTGCCGAAGAATGTCCAACACACCCATGTCTTCATAAGAAATGTCTTGCAAGATCTCTTCAGTGAGTAGCAAGCGTTTGGCTTCTGTATTTTGTCTGACGTGTTCCGGTCGCTTCAGACGATCAGCTGTTTCTTGCTCTGCCAGTTGAGAAGCTCTTTTGAACCATTTCCTGCACCAGGACATCCTGTAGTTCGCCATTTGCTCTTCAGTGAGTTCCAGTTGTTTAGCCATTGCAATCTCCAGGTCGTCCGACAGGGCCAGTGCATTGGCCATAGGATGTCCAGAATTGCACGCATGTTGTATAAAAGATTCGCAGTCCCAGGGAAGTCCAAAAACGACTCCCACACCTTCTTCTGAAAATTTTCTCTTCTTGGCCCCCTCAAGATCCTCGGAAGTACCCCCCTTGGAAAGAGTCGAGAGGGGGAATGAGCGCAAAAAACGAGAGTGGCAAGGAATGGTAACTGGAGCGCCCTCCAAAGTGAAGGCGGCAACATCTTTGGAAAGCTTGCTCAATAGACTGCAAGGGATGTCACTCAAAGATGCCACTGCAAATGTTGCTGCTGAAGAAAAATCCGGAACAATCTGTGGTAGTTTGTTACCCCTGGGCTGGTTTCCCACAGCAATCTGCGCATTGTGAGCAGCATGCAAAGGGTGTGAGTGAATTTCTTGTAGTTGAGCTGGCAGCAAAACAGCGCCTTGACGATGTAGAGCTTGTAGGATGCATTGTACTATGGCAACGCACAACTGTTTTGGATACTTTGACTCCAAACTTGTTGCCCAAACACGGGAGCCGTCATCAGCTTTGGCAAATCGCCAAGGATCATGTTGATGCGAATTGTCACACCTGGCGTTGATCTGAGAGAGTTCGTCAAAGTTCCCAACAAGTCTCGACCATTGGGTCTCTTTCCACCGTACATGCAAGCTTGAAAATCAGTTATGGTCAAAGCCACACTCTGCCTAAGGCGAGTGAACCAATCTGTAAGCCAGAAATATGAATTCGAAGGGTTCTCCATTGTAACGAAAATATTGCAAGCAGCTGCGTCCTGAAAGAGCTTGCAACTGTATGCGAACAAATCATTGGCAATATCGACTCGGGTCATATCCTTCTCCGACAGGTCAGGCAGGCCACGCGGAAAGTCATTCGACCTGAGAGGCTTGGGGTCAGACCAATGCCGTTGGATTTCACGCGCTCTGCTTGCAGTCCCGCAAACAGGCGCCACATGCAGCCAGCAAAACAATGGAGATTGCATCCACTCTGCGACCAAATTATTGTGCTCCAAGTTTCTCAAGTCCAGTTGAACAATGGAACTGTAAGCACCCGACTTGCGAACCTTGTCAACAGCAATACTGCCCAAAAGTCCACACTGCTTGGCAGTTGCACACAGTACGCCGTAGCCTGCAGAGATTTCGATCATAAACAACTGTTCTATGTGAATTCCTTGAAACTTCAATGCATTGAAGGGTTGCACTGCAAACGATCACTGCCCACTCTTGCCATGCTTGCTCAATGGATGAGGGCCTTGGCAACGAGGTTCACAACAAAGATGCCAACCTTTCGGACAGCGCTCTCCATCTTGGACTGTCTTCGAATGTTGGCAGCCTGCAGCAGTGTTGTAGCCGAAGCAGAGCGGCTCTCCCTGAGCATTCTTGTACCACTTGCCTCGTAGTTCCGCAGGCATTGAAGGGGCAGATGACTTGCCTTTGCCCTTTCCCTTTGTTTTTCCTTTCTCTATGCCCCGCTCCGAGCCCTTCTGTGATCCGTAGGGCTGAGCCCGCCATGAACTGGACTCCGATGAAACTGAAATCAGCTTTGCAACTGGCGACAAGTAGAGGACAATGTTTGGATCAGCACGAAGGTTGAGCGGTGCTTCTCCTAGAGGATATGTTCCATCAGCCCGTTGACGGATCGTTGAAAGACTGCTTGCTAGTCGAGTCCATGCTGCCCTGTCGCATTGCAGAAGTTGAGCAAGACTTGGACGCTGAAATCCCGGTGGAGCCTCACGATGAAGAGCGTCAACTAGAAAACTGAACCACTCATTGTGTTGGGCATAGCTCATGAGATTCGCAAACTGAAATGCGAGCGCCCTCCTCTGCATAGCGTAGTGCACTTTGAGCTCTGTATCAGTTGGGGAGGTCAACTTTTCACTCCCTGCTTTGAGAACTAATGAGCCCTTCTCAAGACTCAACTCGCGAGACTCCTTTTTGCCCTGCACCTCAAAAGCCCTGCTGATGCAAGCTGAAGGCTCAATGTATTTAACAATGTTCTGTTCATACATGGCAGTTGCTTTGTCAAGAAGAATGTGTGCAGGGTCAAGTTCTCCAGAAATTGAGACTCCGGACAACGCCAACTGAAGTGCACTCATCCTTGTGGTCCTCTCTGCATGGGCCACTCTCCTTGGTACAGCCTCATCTTGCTGCTCAAGCCCTTGTCGGAGAGTAGCCACAACATATGTCTGCGCTTCAAAAGTGAGCCTCTTTGTACTGCTACTCTCAACGAGCGACGGAGCGCGCCCGAGGAGGCCCTGAAGAAAATTGGTGACATCATCGTTGGAAAGCACCTGATTGGGTTGGCCTATGGAAAAGGCCAAATGAGATAAGGTCCTGATCCCACCATTCTTCAGTGCATTTATGAAAGGATCACTCAATCCAAGCTCACTCAAACGAAGGTCAAAGTGTGCCTCACTGTCAACGACACTCGACATCGCGCGAGGTTGAAAGTGCAAAAACCAAAACAAAAAGATTGACATGAAGAACATGAACAGCTGAACAAGCACTGAAAGGAAAATTTCCGGCCATTAACTCAATATGTCTCTTGTGCTCCTTCGAGCCGAAGTTCACGCATGGCTTTCCATGAAACGGAACAGTGCATGGCTTCCCATGAAACTGAAAACAAGTCTCAAATGCACATGGCATTCCATGTACAAAACCAGCTTTCTGGTAACTGCTCTTAAGCATAAAGGAAGTCTGCTCTTAAGCATAAAATGGTACTTCACCAAACTCGGCACTCTGCGCAAGCTGTTTTTGACCACTTCGGTCGCAAGTCAAACGCGCGCCCTCTTCAGAGCTGCGTCGAAACGAGCTATGGCGTCTTCACGCGTCCTAACTCGCCCTTCGGCACTTGGGAAACAAATCAGGCATTTTGGAAGCCTTATGTAAATGACCGGCTCAAGCTCCTTAAAGTTCTCATTCAGTTTCTTACCACAATTTGTGGTCTCTTTGCCAACACGCACACGATGGACCCTTGAGGTCTTCACGTGCTTGTAGTACACAGAACCTGCCGGCGCGACTTCTCTAAGAGAATCTTTGCCACGACATGAGCTCAGTTCCTCACTTGAAGATGAACTGCTTTCAGACTCTTCGTCACTTCCGCTTGAACTGTCGATTGGCACTGCGCCTTGTCGAACAGCTTCTTCACCAAAAAGGCTCAAGTCGCAGGCAAAAGCTTCAAGATTTGTGATGTTTTCAATCTCTTCTTTTATGCTTTCGTTTTCTTCTTCAACGTTTACAAGCTCAACCGCCTGTTCAACAACTTGCTCCTCTGCAGGATTATGAACTTGTTCAACTCTTGCAGGCACTGGAAGAGGAGGAGTGAACACGTTAGGCCTCGGAGTGGTCGCACCTGGGGTTGCAGCCAACAGAGTTCCTTGTGACGCTGTCCTCAAGGTTCAAGCCAATGCGAATGCTTTTGAGCAACATCTGCAACTTCCTGAGCGGCCTGACTTGAAGCTCACGTGAATATACAATGTCACTACCATGCAATGCAGTGCTATGATGGCCAAGCACTGCACGAACCTCTTTGTCTAAGCCAGCCTCTGCACACCAATTCAAGAGAGTAGCTTTCAGCGAATGGCAACGAATCTTCTCTGAACCTGGCGTCCCTGAAAGAAGAAGGCGCAACCACCGAGCTGCTTCTTGGGTGCTCAACGGCCTCGCGCAGAAGCCTCCTCCTATTTTTGGAGCAGGGAGCAAGGGCCCGAGAGGAACCTTGGTCATATCTAAACCAGCTTCCTCGTAGACCTTCAACAAGACCTCGATCCAATCCTCGCTGACCACACCTTCCCAAGGGATGACGAGCGGTAGATACTGTTCACGACGTATCCCAACAGCGGATGTCTTGTGCTCACGAGTATACAGGACCAAGGATCCGTTGCGCCGAGCCTCAACATCAACGTGGTCAATGTATCGCAAGTCGGACCAACGAGCTCTGCCATAGATGCAGACTAACATGGCGCCAGCACCCAAACGGTCAATGAGGTCGCTTCCCAAAGAAAGAATTTCATGAAGTTTCTTCAAATGAACAAGCTCAAGAATCGGGGCCTGGGAAGTTCCACTGCAGCAAAGCCCAGTAGCCGACCTGAGCCTAGGACCACATCGCATCCTTGAAGTCCGACTGTGAACTTACAAAACCTAACGGTCTCAAGAAAAGTTGAGGTCGTTGTGAAACCTCTCGACTTCTGTTGTCGCTCAACTCTCAACCACTTGAAGAAGTTCCAAACATCAGACTCCACCAATGGGAAAGCATGCACATACACTCCTCTGCTATTGAACTCATTGTAATGCCACACCAGGTACTTACGCAATGTTGCAGCTCGTTTCAACAAAGTGTTGGGGCTCTTTGTTCCAAAACATGCTTTGAGAGTTTCAACTGCTTCACCGCCACTGGGGTCCGAACGAAGATCCTGGCAGATTTGATTTCCTACGGTGGATGCTTCCCAATGGGTAGACAAAATGTCCATCCACTTGCCGCACGCAAGCTCCAACTGCTCAAGCTTCTCTTCGAAGTAATCTAGATCCCTCATATCAGAGATAGCATGCATGTAACCAACCTGCAAAGAAAATGAAACACGGTCACCTTGCACTCCAGACTCGTCAACGTGTTGTGGTGGAATGGACTCAACAAACGGCTGAATCGAAGGAAAGCTCACTGGCGGGTCATTACGAAACACACCAGCACAAGCACCAACTTCCCAGGGAAACTTCAGGGTCTCATCCAATGCTTTGTACTGTCCATATGCTGATGCAATCATACCATTCCAAGTCACTGAATCAACAGCAGTTTGGTTCAATGAACTGCTTGAGGCCTGAACAAAATAGTCTTGTTCAGCTTGAAGTGCTGGCTCATCTCCATCGGCCGAAAAGATCTCGTATTGAGCAGCCACCTGAGGTGAAGACTCCTGAACCATCGAACCGCCTGGCACAAAAGAATCATCATGAAACTCGAGATCGTCAAAGCCAGACATCGATTCAACTTCATGCAAAGGTGCAGAATCTCCTATGTCCATCAAAAAGAAGCCAACACCCCCATGGCTCACTTCTCGGCCGGGAGAAAAGCAAGCCCACCCACCCTACCCTTTAAGCCAAACATTGCAAATTGAAAATGCCATCCGCTCCTGATGTCGCTTAAACTCTCTCGAGACCGAACGATCGTCTTCGACGAGCTTATCAATAATGACCACCTCTTTGCACCACCCCAACTCATGGTCAACAGCAGAAGAACCACCCACTTGGTTGGCAACTTTGAGGTTTCTCCTTTAGTTCTTACCCTTTTCAACTGCTTGAAACACACACCTTGACAATCACGGTTGCAACCGCTTCAACTGAAAAACAAATTGTTCATGTGAGTTGATTTATCTGATACAGCCTCAGTGGCATGATGCCTCGGTGCAATCACAGTAGGAGAGTGTTCTGTGCAATGTGCAGGGTGCAACCGCAGAAGTTGAATGTTGACCTGCGAAGCCACTGTGCACTTGCGCATCACTGGTAGGAAAGAACACTTGCCCAAGAAAAAACACCACCTGTCACTTGGACAGAGGTAGCAAAGCTAGATAGCCCAAGTGGCTCCAGAGACAAACGAGGTTCTCTGGATGAGAGGTTCGAACGAAGCACCCAAAGTCTTCGCTCCTTTTCTACGCCATTGCTCAAAGTGCGCTGTCAGCTCCCACCGCTATAGGTGGTTCAGGGCCATATGGCCAAGGGAGTGGAACTCATGAAACAAACATCCATATGGACATCTCATGTCCGTGGCTTGAGTCTTTCACAGAAACTCACACCGGTGGATGGTGTTCAAAAAAAAATGCTCAGGCGGCAGGCCGTCAGTCGGTCATCCAAGCTTCATAGCTTAGGAAGCCCCATTGTTGGCGCCAGCTTCCCATGTCCTGAGCGAGGGTGGCGCCGCTCAGGCCGTTGACCACGTTCGGAGTCCTCGGAAGGGGCTCGCAATGGTGGCAGACAGGTCGGCGGTCAACTCGATGGGCTTGCTTCAAACCCTGGCACTCAGAGGTGGTGTGCCAGACATGGCCAAAAGGGCGAGAACTCCATGTTCAGTGGGGCATTCCTCTTCAAGGTGGTACAGGAGCTCGTTGTAGCACCGCCAAAGTAGTCCTTGGCATTGCTGACAAGCTTGGTCGATGGTCTCGGCTTCTTGCTGCTCGATGTTCCATTGTTCCATCATCTCATTGCGGTGTCTTTTGTTCTCGAAGTTGGTCTCGGCAGCTTTCACGAGGTCGTTCTCTACTGAGCCATTCGGTGGTCCAGTCGAAGGTTCTGCTCATCCAAGGCGGCATCAAAGTGTCGCTGGTTGCGAGCATTTGCAACACCTGGCTTTTTCGCTCCAGGAATCTTCCGAGCTTGTAGGACAGGTAGCACAGAATGAGGATGACGATCAGCATGGTGCAGACTCCTGCATCATCCATCTGCGCATGGTGACCGAAGAACTCTGCAGTAACAGCCTTAAGCTGGCTGAAGAAGACCAGTAGTGCCATCGGGGATCTCAAGGTTGTGAGGTGCCAGACCTTGCAGCAAAGTTCTCATTGGGTGAACTGTCCAGGAGTTCTTCCTGCACGCTCTCGAGGTTGTCGGTGTGGTTGAGTAGTAGGTTGTTGGTGGTGCGTTCGTTCTTTGTGGGTTTCTTCTTCTTTCTCGACTTGGGGTCAGCGAACTCTTGTCGACTCGCTTCCCTCTCCTGCTTGCTCTTCTTCTTGGCGGCGGTGTAGTGAGGGTCCCGAGCTCTTCGTCAGGCCATCTGCGAACTGTCGTTCAGAGCTGATCCACTTTAGGCAGCCCCCAAGTTCACATACTTGTTGTTTGGCCACTTTGATCTCCAAGTAGGTGCGCTTGTCCACGGAGGAGCTTGCTGAGGTTGCTGTCTCCTTGTGCCAAGCATCGTAGAGTGCTTTTAACATCTGTGATCAGCGTTGGCTTCAATGCTGACACTTCATGTAGTCGTTCTCGAGGGGAAGTTTTTGGATCAAAGATGATCGACCAGAAGCGGCTGATGAACTCTGCCGTATCGCTGGCACCACCTCCTGCTTGAGCTTCTGCACTGAGGCTTGAGCGGGCGATGCGAGGAAGTTTGTAGCTTCGCCAATCAACAACATGGTAGGGCGTCTCTTGCTCAAAGAATTCCTCAGGAACCAGCATGCCACCTTGAGAAGTGTGATCTTCTCTTGCAGCATGTGATGCGTCAAACATGATCACCAACCGGATCTTGTGGAGGTCACCTTGCTTCTTGGCGGTTTCGAAGGGCTCGAACTTCAAGGTCATGTCGGCGTTTACTTTGGCGAACTTGAGAAGTGAGTTGGCTTCGATGATTGCTTGAAGCTTTCCGCTGCGCTGCTGACCGCTAATCACGAAAAACTCCGGGTAGCAACCTTATACGGTAGACTACCTACCTCCCCTGGATCTTTAGCTCACAACAGGCTCTCACACTCGTCCGGTACGGTACGAAACCTTTCTCTCAAACCTCCGAATACTTCGGAAAACTTCAAATGCTGCACTAGCTGCTCTCAGACACTCGCACCCTTTTCTCACGCTAGCCAAAGGAATTGGCCTTGAGCCAAAACATATCCCGTAGCACTAAACTATACAAAGAATACACAAAACATATTAAAAGTCTTTTAAAAGCATCTCCACACACAAAGAACTCTTTCAAAACTTCCGACTACGCTACAAGTCGCTTTCAAACAATTAAGAAACAAAATGTTGAACTACCGCCAGGTTCCAAATCTTTCACAAACAAACTTAAACGAAATTTATGCATCGCAAACTGCAAGCATCGAGCGAGGTGGACATCCCGACATGGAATTTCTTCACCCCCTCTTGGACACAAAGCTCGAAACGAACTGGCTGGCTTTAAGCCTTCTTATTCTTCTTCAATGAGGACAGACATTTGGCACAAATATCTTTCGACATAGGTACGTTCATGCCCGAGCAAGTTGGATTCAAATGAACCTTGCTCCCACTCACTGAAAAATACACTTTTGAGCATTGCTCAATGCCTTTTGGAATTGGATAGCTCTTCGGCATATCGACTTTAAAAGTCACTTGGCTCTCAGGCTCAGCATGCTTCCGACACCGCAGGCAGCAGCAGGTCAGCAGGCATCCCAAAAGAAAACCGGCTGCAAAGACCAAAGCGGTCGCTGCTTCCAGGCTCAGCATCGCAAGCGCCGTTTCCGCATCCGGCATCATACCTCGGATGATATAAGCTTCATTCCAAGAAAAGCTGTATCTCACAGTCTGCAAAAACCAAGATTCTTTCGAAATGTGCAATCGAAAGCGCTCGCAAAAACGTGCCATTCGGCTCAGACAACGTGCAAGACTTACTTGGCTATTATGATTCTAATTCGGCTTTAAATCCTTTAAGGATTAGCTCGCAAAATCTCCTGGGGTAGTGTTGCGTTTCCTTCCAATTGACTTCCTTGGACGGCAAATGATCATGACGACCATCACAAACGCAAACCTTCAGGCTTTCCAACAACCGAGTACTATCTGTCTCAATCCTCCAGGTCTTTCTGACCAACTGACCTTTCTGGTTCAACTTGACTGAACAAGCATCCACAAATGTTGAAAACGTCTTTCGTTTCCTCAGAAAATCTTTAGTCTGATTCCACCCCCAATAAGCACATCTCTTCGGCCATTCAATCGCTACGAAATCGGCTACTTCCGACATCCGTAAGAAACCTTTCCATAGCTTCTTCTGAATTTGGTACAACTCTCGAAGATGACCCATATAGTCCTGACCAAACTTCTTGATACAAATGTACTGAAACGGACATCCTCCTGTACACGGAATCGACGACCACAAGACGACAAGCTTTCCTCTCTTCCGATGGCTTATCATCTGCTCCCGAATCGACTCGATCGTGTCCAATCGGGTTCCGTCATCCGCCTCAGTGACAGTCAAGACTTCAACACCTTCCGTACGGCTTCCGATTTCTTTCATCTCGGACTCCGGTGATGTGCAAAACTCAACAATCAGGATTTCGGTACATGTGACCTTATCCATAATCCACAACCATCTCCCGATCCAGTCATATGGCACTTCAAATGAAATGAGAAATGCTCTGACAACTCCGATCGTCTCCATATGTTGTAAAGTCACAGCTCTCGACAATGCCTTGGTCATCAAGTCGGCACAATTCTCGGTACCTCGGACAAAGCTGATGGAAATTACTCCCTTGTAGACTGCATCTTGCAAAAAACAGATTCGAATGTCTATGTGTCTCAATCTTCTCAACAACCCTGACATCTCTGTGACATGTCGGGCTGCCATCGAATCCGTAAGCAAACCTGGAATGGGCAATTCCTCAGCTTGACATCCATAGACATGTGCCACAGCATGTTGAATACCTATAGTCTCTTTCGCTCCTTCGAATAAAGCATATAGCTCTGCCTCGGCTGAACTACAGGCTACACTCTGCTGCAACCTACTGAATGCTTTGACACAACAGTCACTAACGAAGATGGCTGCTCCTGATGTACTCTTCCTATTGGTGGACTTTTCGGCTGCCCAACTGGCATCGACATAGGTCGTAATCCTTGGTGGTCCTGAGTACTCATAGCTTCTGAACTTCAACTTTCGATCGGCTACTGATCGGATGTAACGGATACTCGCACGCATTGCAGTCTCGTGTACAGCTAGCGGCTGAGATTGACCTCGGGCAAGCGTCGAACACAACCAACAAAGATCAGGTCTCGACTGAGCTACCCAACCTAGCTTACCTAGTGCGGTTCGAAAAGTTGCTGCTGCCTCGGGTGACAACGGTTTCCGATCTTCTTCTCGATCACGATCGTAAAGCTGAAACAAATTGGGGGTCGCTTGACTTTCCTTTCCTCCTGGATACAAGTTCATCATACCTTCATAGTACTCTTTCTCCATGTACAAGGCAATCGTTCCATCTTCTTCCTTTTCGATCACCTTTCCCAGAAAACGAATTCTGTCTTCTTCAAGCTTTCCGGTGACTTTCAGTCTAAGCT